TTAACGTGTCCATTTAGTTGTAGCCGTAAATATTTGGTCAATGAACAATTTGAAAATCATTATACACACGGAAGTCCTTCGATACTGAAAATCATCGACTCCAGTCTGGTTTACCTTATTTCCCAACTTGCAAAACTGATTTGTATCTTAGTCCAGTTTTTTTTTTTTTTTTCTTCTTGAACTGAGGTCAAATCCCAGTCGTTTGTCAAAATATACCGATGTTTTTCAGTGAATAATTGTGAAGCCTGTCACAGCACAAAAAACTATGTGAATCGGGCCGGAGATTGGATAGTACGACGACCCTTCAATTTGCATCAAATATGCTTTGTTACAACATCATTGATTGGCTGAGATTCACCTGATCAGAGCACGGCCTGGGTCACAGAACCGTATTTGTCTGTATTATCAACAGGACTTTACGAGAGAACCACACCCACATTTTCAACCATGTTTAGCGCGGAAGTTGCCAACAAATGTCGAAAAACTTGTGAATTTTATGGATTCAAATAAAATAAAGCTAGCGATTGGTAAGACTGGTTAATAGTATATCCCCCAATGCTCTTCGAATTTTTTTTTATTTCAAGGTGAGAAATGGATAGTTGAAGTTCCATCGATTTCAAGGCGACTATTTCACCACGACAACACTACGCTCTGTTGTAGTTTCGCGAGGTATAAAAAATATATAATAAATAGTACTTGTTTAATTATTTGGTTTTACAGCCCACAAATTACGGGACGTGATCCCTATGAATTAAGATAAATAAATGCTGATTGTGTTGAATAATGGACGTCGGGACCGTTTGGAGAAACCAACAAGGATCGATATTCCATGGATATTTCAAACAAATTATTGGGACATGGCCGGTAGACATTTCAAACAAATGAAATTATTAACGAAAGACCAGATTTTTCTGTCATACCAAATATATGTGAAATTGACAAATATACAAAGAGTTTAGGTTTATTTTAGCCTTGGACTTCTATTTAGCTTCATGGTCCTTCGGCTTGTTTTCTCCTTGGGGGGGAAAACAACAATATTATACAAATCGTAAACTCAACACAATCAGGAAAAAAACCCCAGACAACCATGTCATACTTCTGTTGAAATACATTTTGTAGCAGTGCATCACGTCAGAATATTGTCTAAAAAAAAATATTCGATCACAGCCAAATCTAGGTCAAAGGGTCAGATTGCGTGCATATAATTATAGATAGTTAAAACAAAAAGTATTTGAACTTTTGATGGTTGTTCAACATCTATGCACAGTTACTAAACTACTAAACTAGTAACCGTGATCTATGAAAACCAGAACATTTTTAGTAGTCCGAATTTTTGCACGGTCGAAAATAAAGGGGAAATTGTCCGGTCAAATTCAACAAGCGGTCGCAAAAATGAGCGATTGAAAAGTGGAAGCGGGCAAGAGGTTGGGCAAAATGAGTACTGTACTTCTTTGTTTGATGAAGTGATGCTGATGCCACATTGTCGCCATAATGAGGCCACAATGAAGCGAAGCGATAACTGACTAACTTTTCAATGTCGCGACATTGATACGACGATGAGACCATAACAATGCCATAATGATGTGACGCTGAAGCAAAGCTGACGCTGAAGTGAAGCCAAAGCTTTCGTGAGAACTGTACTGTAGTTTATTTGCCCCAGAGAGCTTATTCCAATTTCTAATTAAATGTTTTCCTTGCATAATAATACACTGTGCTTCCATCTATAAAGTGTTATACTATTGTAAATGAAAGTTTATATTGTTTTGAATAATGCTCAACAGTTATATACAACATATACTTCTGTTTGAACACATTGCAGGTTTTGTAGTCCCTCCACCACCTCTTACACTGCCAGCAGAAACTGAACGACCTACAGAGGAATACTCATCGTAAGTACATGCTTGGAAACTGTAAACCATTAAATTTTTTGCTTACATAAAGACAAAATATTGCAAAAATTGCTGAAACCCAATAAAATTTTAACTGCTTGCTAAATTTAATTCTCATGAAATGAAAGTAGATTATAGTAATTAACTGAGCATGCTCAGAATCTGACTGTCTTCCTTCAAACAATCCTAAATAAAAAGTCACACTCTGAGATTATTAGGACTATTACATGAAATATTT